AGAGGTGTTATTTTATTCGTTCGTATTCTAACCTATGCAAGGGACTGACTTGAACATGCACTTATGTGATTTTTTTATCAGTGTTAAATACCTCATAGTTACTTTGAGATCAAGAACTACACTATCAGCGCTGTTCTCTTGCTTTTTTTTTCTTTGTTAATTTTGTGTCATAAATGTATTCACCATCATTTCCATGATAATATAAAAAAGTCGATACTCTGTAAACGCAATGTATATACGGAACAATCTAGAAAATCTAACTACTTAACATTAAATTTCATGAAATAATATCCCTACAATCAGTTGCCAAAAAAACAATAGCGTGTTTCCTGACGTTCTTCATCTCGAAGTCACATTAAAGCCTTTAAAAGGAAAGCACACACACGATTATTTTTGTGAAGGAGAATCTACAGATTAATGTTTCGAATAAGCATTCTGTAATTTGTAACAAAGATTTAGACAAATATATGCAGTGTTTCTATCATGGCTCTAAACGATCTTCTATCACAGGGAGTTGGTCTACATCTCGGTCTAAAGTGTTATCGCTATCGGAGATTGAAGTACAACTGTAATTCAGGTAAAGGCAGTCGATAGTCAATTGCCTCATGCTTTTTATCTTTGTTGTCCCTTGTAAAACAAAACAAAAAAAGAAACATTTTTGAATTACAAAAAAATCCTGACCAATGTTTTCGAGAAATATAATTAAAAAAGAAATTGTCCATCCTTTTCCCAATGACTGCAGAAGACTCATAACAGTTCTATCTGCTCTGACAAATTGTGATGATTTTGATAAAGTTATAAAACGAGACTTCACGAGTCCTGTGAGAAGTTGCTTCTGGTTTTTGATGTGTTTTTATCTTGAGCGGCGGTATTCAACCAAACAGCTTTGGATACCTTGCCTTGCTTTTTATATTCTCGAGCTCATTTTAACCTTGCTTCAAAATTACTTGCCGTCTTTTATTTCCATAGTGGTTACCATTTTGGTAGCATAACTATACAGGTTTATAATTGCGATACATGATCTCTTCAGGTATAGGATAGGTTTGTGAGGACATAGAATTACGTCTGGTGAAACCCACCAAAGTAAGAGATAGCACCAAATCATGCTAAATGAACCATGTGTTTCTTGTCTGTTATTTGTCTTTGTTTGTTCCTTATTTTTAGAGTTGGTGTTAGTGGTCAGTGAGGTCTGGTATAGTGTCTGATATTTGTTTGCACTTCTTGTTATTCTTTCTATAAAAAGTCATATTGTACACGTTTTCTTTCCTTGGTATCATTTGGACCATAACCATACCATAACTAACAAGCATATTCTAACAGACCAACAACGTGGGAAAATGTTGTTTTTCAGGATATGTTTGATAAGGGTTAATTTAAATAAGAGTTTCAATGAATACTGACTAAATTTCCTTATAAAACAACACTTTGAACGAGATAATTCACTGTTGTTTGTCTGTTTGTCTGTTTATTTTTGGCCATGGCGTTTTTCAGTTTGTTTTCGATCTGTGAGTTTGACTGTCCCTCTGGTATCTTTCATTCCTCTTTCACTGACAATATGTGCTAATCATTTGGCCTTTAGTGGATAGTTGTCTCATTGGCAATCATACCAAATTTCCTTAATGCTAAAATAAAGGTGAAATATTACCGTTTGTGTTTTTCACCGCGCTTAACGTTTTATGTTTAACTAAAGTTGAAACATTGACTCGAGAAAAAATTATATGCCATCCCAGGAAACGAATGCACGATGCCTTTAGGATTTCCCTTCTAAATTAAAGTAAAGCAATCCTTTTGGTTAAACAGTCAAAGGAATATAACATCGGTGCAAAATCGCAAAAGATTTTAGATACATCATAAATGTTATCAGCAATATCATAAAGATAGATAGCAATTAGTAGAAGACACATTGCAGATCATTGTGAAACAATACCTTGTCCGTTTTGTATAGTCGAGAAAGCCATTGCGCAGTCGCATCTTTCTGATAGTTGTCACTTTGGTGCATTATCAAAAATTTAATATTTTGTTTCCTTAATAAATACCCAATACTGTAAACACAATCAAAATATATAGTTATATCATGGAAAACAACACAGATTAGTTTCTTATAAATATTATAGCCATGTAATGATGAAGTTAAAACACTTGATTGACCTTGCGTACCCCCATATTGAAACCGGTTAACTTAGCTTATAAGTGGTTCGTGTGGTTAGTTAATCGAAAAATATTTATCGAATAGTTGAATATAAAATTGAAAAGGACACTTCAATATAAAAAAAAACACTTCTAAATTTGGTGCGACGAAAGTTTTTTTTTCTGGATTGAAGAAAGCAATATTACCAAACAGTACCTAAAAAGAACTGCCAAAATCATATCAGGTTAACTTTGCTTGAGAGATGTGGATCATTTAGTTCTAAGTTTAATAGTTTTAACTTATCAACTGGAATATCAGGACATGTACGAATCGTATGATATCAGTACCAAGATTTATTACGTTGATGATGATTTCGGAGACCAGAATTTAACCAGCACCAGTACAATGTATCAACCAATTGATACAAAATGATGATTACATTTTATAATGTGGTGCGTCTGAAGTGTTTTTCCTGGACCTTCACAAGGAACACTCAAACGCTAAAACCAGCGTCAGAAGATTTTACAACCATTTTTACAGCACAATGTAATTGTAATGTTAGGCTGAGTTTAATAGATTTGTCAGCAAAAGATCGTTTGAAAGTGCAAGAACACTGATTGATAAATCATTTTGAACGGAAAATTAATGATAATTATAATGACATACACATTTATAAAAATAAGAAGATGTGGTATTACTGCCAATGAGACAACTTTCCACAAGAAACCAAATGACACAGAAATTAACAACTATAGGTCACCGTATGACAAAGGGCAAAAACCATACCGCATAGTCAGCTATAAAAGGCCCCGAAATGACAAATGTAAAACAATTCAAACGAGAAAACTAACGGCCTAATTTACGTACAAAATAATGAACGAAAAAAAAATATGATACACAGAAACAAACGACAACCACTGAATAACAGGTTCCTGACCTGGGACAGACACATACATAATGTGGCTGGGTTAAACATGTTAGCGGGCGCATAACCCTCCCCTAACCTAGGACAGTGGTGTAACAGTACAACATAAGAACAAACTATAAAAATCAGTTAAAAAAGACTTAACTCATCAGATGGATACAAACAGAAATATATATAACAAAAACACAGAGTGGACGTGACAGGGTACTTATAAATCCCCACAACAAAAAGACACTTAGTACAGATATGAGAGTACTTGCAGTTATTGACAGCTAGTTCAAAGCCAATAACAACTAATAAAAAAATCATGCATCTATAAAGACTAAAATATCAATCAGTACACATCCAACATCCAATGGACTTAGTGTAAAGAGGTCATTAACAGTCAGAGAAAAACATGACCTTGTGCAATGCCAAGATACAGGTATCGACAGATTGTAGAGCCATGAATGTGCATATGTATGTAGAAATAATATTCGTTTGATTTTAATTTACTGATAAAAAAATCAATAGTTATACTAATAAAAACAATACTCAAAGATCTAATTACAGTGTTGAATTGGTAACCTTTTAGATTAATTTTTTTAAAGGATCGATAAGTTTACCCGGATCGTATCTACATTTCTGGGCTCAGTAAACAACATCTCCGTAAAAATTAGGATGTGCTATCCCGTTTGAAATAAGTTTTCTACAGGTACAACCAATCTTCAAAACCAAATCTTTATATAGATCTATGGAAGAATTTAGTAAAGGTTTTAAGTAATTTGTGGTAACGAAATCCCTGACTTAATAATTTACTAGTAATACATAGATTACGTTCATTGCAATCCAAAACGTCACAACAGAAACGGGAATAGTGAACGAGTTGTGACATATAAACACCGTAAGATGGCACCAAAGGAACATCACCGTCCAAAACATGTTAAATGAATGCCATGCGTCCGAACCGTTTTCCTATAGTTTATACAATAAACACTTTATAAATTTCGTGCGTCTGAAGCACTTTTATGAAATCACGAAAGCTCAAATCTAAATATTTGACAACATGAGATGAGTGCATACACTGAAACATTCGGAGCTCTATACCCCAAAAAGAGCTAAACAGAATAACCAAATTTATCTGACGTCAAATTTTCCTGAAGGAATTGGTTTCTTAATCATATCATAATTTATGAACTGGGAATTTAAGGTCAGTCTATGTCATAGATCATGTCAGTACCAAATCACTGACTACTGAGCTGACAATATCCTCAGGTTTTAAAAAAGCAATCGATTCAGTTGGTCAACTGTAGAATTTAACGCATAGGAAGGTAACGCCAAATTAAACGAATACCTCTGTTATTAACATTCTTCGCGTTAACTTGCATAAGTTACAACATTCTTTAAAGTTTAGGTAGAAGATTGCAGCCCTGATGGACATGATGGAGTGAGTTTTTCCTGGGGTTATTTATCAAAGCAGGATATTTGAATCAAGAAGAACAGTTGATAGTGAATCGTTTACAGTATTAAGAAAGTTAAAGATATGTCATACAAAAAAATCACCGATCATTTTTTGTGAAATGACCGAGTTTTCTGTGTATGTAGTAACTTCAACACAAAAGATTCCGGAGAGGAGGATAAAGTAAACGTTACGTGACAGAAACTGCCTTGTTTCATTTCACCAAATTGGTAATATGCACATATTTGTCTCATTAGCGAAAACTCCTGGTTGACTAGTTTAAACATGCATGTCTAATCAGTGAGTACTCCTTGTTAGTGCTGACATTTTAGCAAAGGGCAAATTCGTAATGAATAAACCAATGTCATCGGGACACTTAAGGGTAGAAATCAAAACATTTCAAATGGTATATATTTGGCGTTAAAATATCAAAGTCCGGTTACTTAGACGCATTCTACACTTGACAAAATATATTTGACACATATTATCATTGAGATTTTTTTTGTTAGATAATGGTAATTGCTTGAACTGGACCTCTACGACTGATACAAAGTACAGACACCATTGTTACTGGTTTACGAACAAGCCCTTTTCAATGACATCATGGACAATTGTCGATGCGATGAATCAGTGTCGATATGACGGCGGCTATCTGGCACCAATAATAGATAGCTTAAATTATAAGTTTATAAAAGATGCCGTATTATCTGCAGTATTTTCGTGAGTACATTCTTTCTAAGTTAATCTGTGTTATCTATTTCCAGCAGGGCAATGATGATTTATAGAATAAATAATCCAAGAATTCAAATATAGAAAAATATTCAATAAGTAACCGAACAACACATTAATTGACGAATGCGTGTAGTAAATATCAGTGTTGTTCGGTCACGAGTTGAATATTTTTCGATATTTCAATTCTTTGATTAGTTATTCTTTTTTTTACATTGACCATGTTGACCATAAACTTATATAAATTGAAATGAAATGTAAAATTGATGGAACTATTTTTGTCTACGCGTTTGCAATTCGTTTTGATGTAAAGTCATTGACAATGTCTCGACAACACCCATTGTTGCATGTCGTCGGAGGAGTTAAACTATCGGATTTTTTTCACTAATGAAATTATCGGATTTATTCCAAATGCGAATTTATCGGTTTTATTTATTTACTGAGAAATCACGGGATGTCATTGCAACCAATGCAATACATGGTAATCAGCATTTCTGCGTGGACATACAAAGTAATATATGTAGTCACATTTATAAATTAACTGATAACAAAACTTTGAATTGTTCGAGTTACTAGGATATTCTACCCAAGAAAGAGATTACCTAAACTGTATTTAGAGATTTTTTTTTTGAATTTTGGGTCGTCGTTGTTCTTAAACTTCGTATTTAGTTTTTACTTAAAACGTTTTTATTCATGAGTCCCTGATGAGTCTTTTGTATAAAAAACGCGTGTCTGGCATACAAAATTCATGTATATTTAATTATGTTTTGAATAAAAATAAGTCAAGTATTTTGTTTTTGTTTAGTTCATTTATTTTCTTTGGTACCAGTTTTCGTTGACTGGGGAGAAATGGCATTCTATCCCGTAGATATTTGATTTCGTTGTTTCGTTGCGAGAGTTTGATTACAAGCTGATGAAAAATGTATAGTTCGTCGAAAAATTGTGGTTTATCAATATGAAATCCATAGAATATGATCACTCACGAATAAAAAATAATCTATATTACAAGAAAGATAAAATCATATTAACTTAGAATGAGCGAGACTTGGTGCGTGGATAACATAACTCATCTTCACTTTTGTGCAAATGATAGGTGTTTATTTACGATATTATATAATATATGTCCTAGTGTCAGGGTTTATGAAAATGTCCCTTTTTTGTTAAAGAACACACTACTTACTTTGAGTACATACACATATATAACATAGATTTCTTACTTGAAACAAATCAAAGGATTGATATACATTCAAATAGTTTTCCTTCGCAATCTGATGTTGTAATCACAGTATATCAAAGCGTATACTAAGATTTTACGTTATTGATGTTTGGATAATTTGATTCAATTATGTGATAAATCTTTAATATATGTTTACACAATTGTTGCTGCTAGTTTCCCTTATTTCCACGTTAACCAATTATGTCTGTTTTAGTTGCTCTCACACTTGCGTTAATATAATGGAACAATCAACAATTGTCGTAATATAGGGAGTTTCAGCTAGTCCATGTCAGAAATATGTTAATTTGGTTCTGTCAGGACTTCCTTCTTTTTGAATTTACCTTGGAGTTCAGTATTTTTGTTATATCATATGTTTTACATCGTTCAGGACAGTCCTATGTTGATGCTAGCTCATCTTTTAGATATATGCATATATCATGTATTTTCAGCTGCAAATTACATACCGTTTTATATATCATATCATTTGTAATGCATTATTATTAAGTTCATTATTATTTTTCTAATTTTGCAACATTAAGTTCTTAATGATAATTTGAATCAAATGTGCTTCGTTCAATATAAGATCTACATTCTTGTGCATTCAAAAGAATTTTTTTTCTTATATAATTTGTGTCCAACATTCGTTACGTCAAAAAAAGTGTAACAAAAATACCGAACTTCAAAATGAATTAAAAAATGTTAAGTCCATAAAACTGACTAAATCAAACGTTAACCGTTATCAACCAACGATACGAATGGGATACAACTGTCATATTTGTGACTTGGTACAAGCATTTTCAGACAAAAATGGTGGGTTAAACCAGGTTTTATAGCCCGTTCTTTGACAGTCAATTATAGTTCTGTTGTATTGACAAAATTGGGTGCGCAACCCAAACAAACACATGTATTTGATACTTCAATGTTAAAATAATTATATATCATGCGTAAAAGATATAACATCTATAATAATTTTTATCAATTTCAAGTGTTTACTATACATATCTTCAGAAAGACTGCCAAAATATGATATTTAGTAAAGTATGTATAGTTTATGTAATATCTAAATATCCTGCTAAATAGAACATCAATTTTATTTTCAGATTGAAAAACACCCAAGTTTGGCTTGGTTCCCATTTGATGATGGGTTCTCCTGCAAATTGGAACAACGACCCATCAATTATGACTTTCATGACCCCGCTTTCGTCAACAGTTTTTGCTGAAAAATGTTTAATAATTGACTCGAATCTACACCCCGCATGGATTTCCTGTAACACAAACAACAACAACACGTTGACAGGAGCAGTATGCGTCAAGCATGTATTAGGTAAAATTATATCCTAAACACGTTTGATTCTCCTTTCTTCAGCTTCGTACTTTATTTGACTTTTTAAACTTTTTATTCGAGCAGCAATGATGGGTCGAATCGTGCGTCTGGGTTATAAAATTTTAATCCTGGTTTATATTATGAGTTTATTCAGTAATATATACAAAACGTATATTCAAGCTTACATGACGTCATTTACATTAAATAATGCTAGAACAAATCTTGTGAACTTTTTTTTTTCATTTTCGGTTAACAATAATATCTTTATTCATCATATTTATTCACATATGTTCACTACTGTCTAGATAATACAACATTCAAATTGGACTGTATGGATTGGTTGTGGTTTATTTTATGTAAGTCACAACATGCTATAATGCTTTTTGTGTTGTCATATCTGATGTGTGTGTCTGTGTAATAACTTGATACAGAATATCATGTTGTTCTATTTATAAAATCATACATTTATTTCTACAATACCAAGTTCAGTACATATGACACATGTTTTGAGATTCACCGTGTGGTCTAAATTTTTCTGAGAATTAAACACTTAATTTTTTTTTTTAATTTATTGTGATTAAATTATAAAAAAAAAAGACAGTACCAGGGAGAGATTTTAAACCATTAAAAATTTTAAAATGAGTAACATGATAAAAGGATTATTATATATAATAATATTATTTCATAAAACATAGAGGAAAATGTTGCGTCAGTAATTAAGAGAGGGGATAAACATTAAACAAAAAAAACTTAACGTATCATATGATATCATGAAAAGAAAAACATAAAATCCATCTGTTTCCATTTCTGTGGTTTATTTTGACAGTTTCATAAGCAGGTCATGGGCTGAAAAATATCAACAGCAAAGGGAAAGAGCATTTGTAGCTTCTATAATGAAATTCTGAATTCTATTCGATATCATTCTTTATTTATGAAAAGTAAATTATGAAATCCTGCAATACCGTCATTTTTTTTTCATAATATTAATAGAACAGTTGTTAACTTCTAGATATTTTTATGCTTTTGTGTCGTTGGGTTGTTGTTTCATTTACGTTTAACCCATATTTCAATGTCCAAAATTTATCATAACTCTTATATGAATTGCATAGCTAGAAATTTTAAATGTGATTGGTCCGTTAGAATTGTTTCCTTGTTTTACACTTCGACAGACCATGTTGCTGAAACCGCTTTCCTCACCCATGTACAAATTATGTCGATTCATTGTCATATATTAGTTAGCGATACAGGAAAATGGAATCTGGGGTTCGAATATTACAGTTCAGAGACTGACAAGTTACCAAGAGGATTACAAGGACAAGATGTTTTTAGTCTGAACAAAGTCAAGGATGAAAAAACAATAAAGATAGTACACCTACTTGTTAAATTGAGAGAAATGGAAAATCCCATCATCTTGAATATAAGTAGATATTAATAATAAAAAAAATAGTTTTTTTCCAGTAATATGCACTTCTATTTTTAAATTTATAAAGCGTATATATACTGCCCTGTACAAACTTGTTACACAGAAAGAGAATTTTCATTTCAAACGTTTAAAAACTCATCTTTGAATATCGATCTCTTTGGCTTTAATTAAATGTGATTGGATTAGAAAAGAAGAGGAGGCTGTACCAAGGGAAGATGATATCATTACAGGAAAAAGAAAAACAGATAATACTATGACCAATACAAAAAAACGAAGAAGTGACAATAACAATCACCAAAAGACTACATTACAAATTGTAAAACGAGCAACATGATAAAAGGATTATTATATCTAATGATATTATTTTATAAAAAAAAGAATAGGGGGAAATGTCGCCTTAGTAATCAAGTTAAAAAACAAAACAAAAAAACAAAAAAAACTTAACGTATCAAATGATAACATAAACAACACGAAATCCATCTGTTTCCATTTCTGTGGTTCATTTTAAACAGTTTCATTAGTCGATTATGTGCTATAAAAATACCAACAGCAAAGGGGAAAGAACATTTGGATAATTTAAAATCTTTCTCTGAAATTAATTCTCTGAAATCTTTTGATTTTTCAACCCTGTATTCTACCATTCCCCATGTAAAAATGGAAAAATCGTAAATGAAATAATCCACAATGCTTTTCATTATAAAAATGGTAGCATATAAATCTATTACTTTGGGATACCATACGGCATATTTTGTTAATAGTGAACAAGTGGTAAAACATGCTACACAGAGAAACAAGTGATCAGTACGCTAGAGTTTCTTATTATCAACATATTTGTTGAATTTGGAGGTAGACCTTCTTCAACATGTTCAACAAATTGTCGGCATTCCTATAGGAACGAGCTGTGCGCCTCTCCTTGTCGACCATTTCTTATTTTCATATTTGTCGGAGTTCCTTCAGACACTTGTCAAAAACAAGAAGATCAAAGAAGACTAATAATTTAATTTCACATTCCGATATATGTATATAATGAATGTTCTTTCCATTAACAATTCAAACTTTTCTGATTGGGTTCCATTGATATATCCTCCCGAACTAGAAATTAAAGAAACAACAGACACGGCTTCCTCCGCCTCATTTTCAGACTTTTGACTTTTGAAATAAGCGGTCATCGCAGTACCATGATCTATGACAAACGAGACGATTTTAATACCTTTGTAACAATATACCAACTTCATCTGCATATGGAATATACATTTCCCAACTTATTAGGTGTTCAAGAGCATGCAGCTACTACTCAGACTTTACAAAACGTCACCAGTGTCTAAGCAGAAAGTTGATGAACCAGGTTTATGTCAAAGAACGTCTCCTCCTTTTTCTAAAAACGTTAACCGGAAGATAAAAAGACCATATTGATAAATATTCGTATGAACTTCACAAATAATACATGATGGTCTTGCATTATATATTCTAGGTATGGACGTTGTTTATCATCTTAATTACGTGTTATAGTGTTCTTTTATTTGTCTTTATAAATTATTAACCTTTACTCTTTACTCCATATCTTTTTGGCGCGGCTCGGTACCTATACATCCCGCCGTTGTGTTATTGTGCTATGGTCATTTTTTGTGTTTTTGTCATACACTTTTTGCTTATGTGCATTTGATTTCCATTCTCAATTTGATTTGTCTATATGCCATTTTGATTTTCTGTGTTGATATTATTGTTTGTTTTTATAGTGATTAGGATTATTACACCATGTTGACTGCTTCACCCCTATTTTTGACATTTTTTCTACTATCATAATGTCTGTTTGTATTGTTCACATATTGTTGTCAATATAATGGAATTATATGCGACTGTCATACAAGTGAGAGTTTAAGCTAGCTATAAAACCAGGTTTAATCTACCATGTTCTGTACTTAGTCAGGAATATGACAGTTGTTTTCCATTCGTTTGATGTGTTTGAGCTTCTGATTTTGCCATTTGATAAGGGACTTTCCGTTTGAATTTTTCTTGGAGTTTTTGTTTTTTTACTTTTTAAATCATCTATAATATAATCCTTTATTGTATTCGTTATTACTCTTGATATATGAATAGTAAACCATATTATCCTACAATAACGACATTTTTGATAATTTTGATATAACATTGGTTGACCCCTAGATGTCTTTATGTGTGGTTGGGTTGATGTGTTATTTGCTTTTACCCACATATATTAATATTCTAACACCAAAAGGGAATCTTGGGTTCCAAGGTTGTCGCATGTTTTCCAAAGATTTTTTATGTGTATACTTAGTCGTTGACCAACAAAATTTACATACAATTTTTCAGACTTAAATCAGATTTTCGTTATACATCTTAGCATTGTTAGTGTAATGATTCGATTATTACAGTACAACCGACAAGATTAAAAAAAGGATTACTAGCACAAGACGTCTTTAAGCTGTACTGAGTCAAAGATGTATAAAACATGAAATTTATAAAGAGATATTTGAATCAAATGGAACCATAACATGCATAATGTACAAACAAAATCTATTTAAGGTCACTTATTGGCAAAGATGGTTACAATATTTGTTGTTATACTTTAAAGAATGCTTGGCTTAGTTTGGAAAATAATTTTTAATAATACAAATGTATTACAGGTATCAATTTAGCAACTAACCTGTAAAACATGTCGTACTTTCAGATGGCGATATTCCTCTTATAGGCGTCAATTTCACATCAGTAGAAGACATTAAAAATATTCTTTCTGTTGACCCTAAGAAGACAAATGGTAAGTACACATTAACGTAAATTTCTAGGAAGAATTCACCTCATTTTGTTTGTCAACCATATGTTGACAATTTTTGTTTAAAACGTTTAAAACTCATCAAAGATACCAGGCTAATAATGTAGTACGCCACATGGGCGTTTCGTCAACATTAGAATTAACAGTGGCACTCGAATAAACAATTTTGAAACTCAAAGTTGCAGAGCCTTTACAACCATTAAATATGACGGGGTAGACAAACCTTTCGAACAATTCAACAATTTATAAATAGTACAATAAAAGGTATTTAAAAAAATAATAAATCTGGCAATTTTGCACAAACTTTTAAAATGTTCGGTTTGGCTTTTAAGCAGAATGATAGAAACGAAGTCTTTTAAAACATACAGGAAAGATAATCTGTATCCATACCACACCATTCTCATTTCAGGACTCTATACCAATTTCGTACTATTTATATGTTCCGTGAACTCTTTATTTGACGTATGATGTAACAAGGTCACATCATGATGAACATGTGTAATAAGGTTTAATGATGTACTTAGGTCAGGTTTAGTAATTTTTGTTAGATGTTCGGACTTCTTTGTTTTTTTTCCTACGATACAGGGAAAAAACATTTTGCCCCATAACACCCATTTTTCTTTTCATATAAGAATTCAATAGCTCATAAATGGTCATTTACCAAAATTTAAGCAAATTCTAGATTTCTTATCTTTCGATTTGAGACCCAAATAATACCAATGCAAATATAAGGTAAAAGTCCGAGTCATCCTTTTCCTGCCATTGTAAAAAAAATGAATATCTCGGAAAGGAGATCCATGACCTATCAATATTTTTAGCTTATTATGTTCCTTACCTAATGCTCTGCTGACTTATAGTATCACTTTTAAATTTAACCTAATTACATCCTTATGTTGATATTTTACCACAACTTCATGGTATACTTAATTGAACAACAAATACAATCTGCTACCGAAAGGACGAACGGAGGAAATAATGGACGGATGCACACCTCAAAGACATAATGCTCTTCTTATATTGTAGCCGCGGCAAAAATTGAATGGCTAAAATCAGATGAAATCTGAAATAATTCTCTTTTCCATTTCAGCGTATAAGTTGAAGAGGATCAGCGTGTACGAAGATAGACCAGTAGCAAAGGCTATTGGTAGTGTAGGAGTGGCTGTACTAATCTCGGTTATCATATTCATCATAGTATTAGATTGTCAAAGAATGCAACAATGTATTTCAAAAAAGAAAACCAAAAAGTCTAAAAAACGGAAACATAATAAAGTTGGAACTTCAGATCAAAATTGAGACTATCTTTATATGCAATTTATTGTCAAAAATTTAACGCTGCAATTTGTTTTGGAATATTAACAAATTTTATTATTAACGAAGAATTCATTTTTGGTATTTATTAGATTTTAATGAAAAAATTAAATACTTACACAACAATATTTGCACAATGAAGTTGCAAACAACAAAACTGTTGACATAAAGATCGTGAGAAGTATAGACAAAAGTGGATCGATAAAAGAATTTGAGAGTATTTTTGAACTAAATAATAAATCGTCAGCCGTCTGTAAATAGACTTTTAGAAAGCTGGTTGACATACGTCATGTTGTTTAGTCACTTGCTATCAGACAAGTGAACAGTATACAACTTTATTTTATAACTCTTTGGAATCTGTTTAAAATTGACATAGAATAGTAGTATTTTACGTCCACCACGTGTTTTTGGAGTAGCCTTTTGGAGTAGACCTGTTGGTGGCCTTCTGCTGTTGTCTGTTCTGTGGTCGGGTTGTTGTCTCTTTGACACATTCCCCATTTCCATTCTCAATTTTATTTGGTAGATAGTTCGGAAAGCCAAATTGTTAAATGTTCATTGGTATAAAAAAATATATAAGGGCCTAACAAGAAAAGCCAGTAAATGAACATAAGGTTACCCATGTCTGATGCTGTTTTTTTAACCTTTGAAATTACCTTTAATACAACATATAACTTTATGAACTGGAATTTTACGAGGCAAAGCAATCATTTAAAACATACAACTACCAAAATTTTGCAGTAAAGGCTTTTTGGTAGATGCTATCGCATTTGACTAATGTTTACAACTAGCGAAACTAACCCAAACGAAGTAACAAACTGGTTTCGTTAAGCGTGACTCGTGTGTTTCCTGTTCTGTTACGCCCGTGACAAATGAATTGTGTTGGGAATACTTTTTTTTAATTTCACAACTTTTTTCAGTATGTAGAATACATGTAGGCGTAAACAAAAAATAATAGGCTTTTGATACTTTGTACTAAGGTATCTCGCCATTGTAGTTAATAAAGTATATACAGTCCATCGGCCAAATACAAATTGTATTCCGAAGATAAAATTATTGATGAAAACAGGTTGTTCAAAGATTTTATTTTATCTTATTTAAGATTTGACCATTTCAATTTATTCGTTTTGATTTTTTGTTTAATTAAATTTAATAAACATGCAATCTTAAGATCATTATGCACATATCAATTCATAATTAATTACTTGAGGTCCTTTGTATGCCGTTTATTGTAATAATGATATTGTCAGTTTTTATGGTCTTCCCCTTTTTTAAATTTAGTATTTTTGTTAGAACTTTTTTATAGTCTAAAATATTAGGAAGTGACGTCACGTATCATTGCAGCAATGTGTTCATTATAAAAATAACGAGATGAGGTATGCTTGCCATTGAGACAACTATCCACCAAAGTTCAAATAAACTGGATGTACGCAATTATAGGCAACTGTACGGCCTTCAACAAAGAAAACCCCATACCGTATAGTCGGCTATAAAAGGCCCCGACATGAAAAATATGTAACAATTCAATTGAGAAAACCAACGGCCTAATTTTTAACAAAACATTTAACGAAAAACAAATATGCCAGACATGAACCAACGACAATCACTGAACTACAGGCTCCTGACTTTGGACAGGCACATAAAGAATGTGGTTGGGTTTAACATGTTTGTGAGCACTCAATCCTCCCGTAACCTGGGACAGCGGTGTAAAGCACAACAAACTATAAAAATCAGTTGAAAAAGGCTTAACTCATCAGATCGATACAAAGCAGAAAAACACCAAATATCAACACAGACCGGACTCGGCAGGGATTTCAAGTCCATGCACGTCAATTTATCGGGCTCACTTGATATTCTTGCTGATAAAGTCAGCACCAAAACAAAAATGTTATTATTCTATGTATACATGTATTCCCTCCTTTATAATCATTAAGTTTTTGTATTGAACACACATTCGTATCATAGACAAAGAGCAGATAACTCTAGCAGAAATATTTTTTGTATAAAGGGCGTTTTCTGATTGTTCTAGTTGGATTTGTAACAGTGTAAAGACAATATAGATATTTTAATCACATACTATATTCAACAAATCAAAAACGTTATACTGTTCTTTTTATTTGTCTTTGTATATTTTTAACCTTCACTATCTAGTCCATTTTTGGTAATATGCTTTTTGCGTGGCTCGGTATTTATACATCCCGCCATTTTATTAGTGTGATATGGTCATTTTTTGTATTCTTGTCTTTCATTTTTGCTTATGGGTTTAGTCTATAGAGTGTGTACATGACTTTTTGTTTTTCTTTGTTGACATAGTCGTTTCTTTTTATAGTGATTACGATCATAACACAATGTTGACTGCTGTACCCCAATTTGTTCTGTTCACACATTGTTGTCAATATAATGGAATTTTACGCAAATGTCATACAAGTGAGAGGTTTAGCTAGCTACAATACCAGATTTAATCCACCATTTTCTACATAAGGAAATGCATGTACCAAGTCAGGTATATGACAGGTGTTGTCCATTCGTTTGATGTGTTTGAGCTTTTGATTTTGCCATTTGTTAAGGGACTTTCCGTTTTGAATTTTCCTTGGAGTTCGGTGTTTTTGTTATTTTACTTTTCAAGGTTCCAATGTAAATATTTATGGGATTCTAACTTTTTGTAATTGTGTAAAGTCAAAAGAATGATGATTTGATAGATATTTTATTCGCATATTATATTTAACAAATCAAAAATTATCTTTTAATGTTCCAATGTAAATATCTAATGATTTTAATTTATATATGTATATGAATGAATGCCTTATCATATATGTTGCTATCTCATATTTACATCTTAATAATTATTAATTTAAATAAAAGTATTTAAACATGTAGAACAACAGTAAACATATTTTTATTCTTTTTGTATAATTATGTTGTATGTAATAAATAAAACAATCTCCTTTTGCTGAAGGGAGAGCAATTATCGAAAAATGTTAGTGTTGCAAAAAAGGCTTTGGTAAGATTTCAATCAAGTAAAAGGCTTCTGCACAATAGAATATATGATGTCAGTAGTTAGCACTTCTATGTTGACACGAATCATCATTGATATTGTCATAACTTTAAATTAGCTGCTTACAAAACTTTGAATTTTTCGAAATACACTGGATTTTCTACACAGTTATATAGATTACCTAAGTATTATTGGTCTAAACCTTTTGGAATTTTCGGTCATTCATTCCCTTCAGCTTCCTACTTTATTTGGCCTTTTAAACTGTTTTCAATTAAGCGTCACTGGTGAGTCTATGGTAGACGAAACGTGCGTCTAGCGTATAAAATTTTAATCATGATATCTATGGTGAGTTTATAATAACACGGGTCATATTGATCGCTACATCACAGAGGTCTCAAAAATGTTTCATATTCCGTATAGATCTACGTGTACTGACCATTGGTACAAACAAATAAAGATATACCATACCTTTTTTTCTTTCCGTATTTTTTGTATCTCCATAAGAACTTCTTTAGAAAGAAGTTGTTTCATGTTGAATAAAAAGAATAAAATTCTTAGTAAAATAGAATGAAATGGTTCATTTAAACGAATGTGATTTGTACGGTGAATGTTTCATTTTCTAACTATTGATCGGGGAGTAAATAACTTCTATTCAAATGAACCTAAAACACACACTCTAATATAAGAGTAAATCAGATTGAAATGAAATTTGTCAAAATTTATGTTGCAGAATTTCGATGTTATTAATTTTTCCATATTAAACGAAATACGTAATTAAAATGCTGCATTCATAAGTTTCACCATTTATCATTTTTTGAAGATATTTTTAAAAGTTAAAATCGTAATATTTATCTATTTGAACATTGTCAATTACTTTATGGTAATTGATAAAATATATGTTATTAAATAAACCCGCTTTATTATTTTGTTCGTTGGGTTTTAAATAATTGACTGTGTGTTTATCATCTTTACGATATTGATTTTGTACCATAACGTTTGACCTCAAATTTGAGGTAATTGATGTGTATAATGTTTGTTACCACTATGTTTACATTTTTAAATTTTTATTCATAGTGATTCATATTTTATTTTGAAATATATGATTACAAAAATGTAAGAAAGACGTGGAAAGGAGTCTTTTTTGTACACTCTTCCCCTTTGTACGAACTTGACTTAAATGTTGGGTCATTAAAATTTTTTAAAAGTTTCTGCTTCAGGAGTTCCATACCCATCCCCAGAGTATTCACTCATTGAGTAAATGTCTTAATAATATAAGAGACATATTGGTATTGACCCTCAAGGTCAAAGTGAAGGTTAACAAAAATATCTTAAAATATAAAGGATCAAAAAGAGGGAGAAAATACCAAGTCCGCTTAAAACAGTCAACTCCATGATCAACAACAAAAGACAAGCAACACTTAAATATTCACTACATCTAAGTTGAAACATTTGACAAACGTTACATATATTATCATTCTTTAAAGCTATACACTTGAATAAAATGTTTTGTATGTACAACCTGATATCTATAAACCTATTTAATCAACAGATTTGATTTGGAAGCTTGGTTTTTCCGGTAAACAAACCTTATTCCTACGGGATAGCACATCCTTATTTTTACGGTGATGTTGTTTATCGAGCCCGTAAATTGAGATTCGATCGGCCCTTTGGTCTTGGTATCATATGAATAGTATTTTATGTATTTTGCAAATAATTTTCTATACTGCAAGCGAAGTCAAACGCTTCTTTTTGTAGCTTGACGATTTCCATTTCTAAAGACAATGTTTAAATTGTCCATGATAATATTCAATGTTTTCGAAAATATGTTTGCTACAAGAATTTTTCTCGGTATCAATCAATTATAAAATTTCTAAAAAATTTATAAGCGTTTCTATAGTTAGAATGAAATGTTTCTATATCTGATGGTTGTTTATTTGATTTATATGTATGTTTATTCAATGTTAATTTGATGTTGTATATTTTTATTTAAAAA